CTGGATAGATCCGCTCGTCGACTATCTGCTCCACGGGACCCACCAGCAGAACGCAATGCAGCTCGGAGGGTAGAGCGACAATCAGCTCGGTATGTTTTGATCGATGGGCGACTGTATAGAAGATCATTCATGCTCCTCTACCTACGTTGCTTGCGACCTTCAGAGGTTGATCAAGTATTGCACAAAATTCACGAGAGAGTTTGTGGAGGACACTTGCGGGGCAGGGCACTTGCCCAGAAGGGACTGGGGCAAGGATATTACTGATCTACCATGAATGTAGATGCCCTCGAGCTAGTCAAGAAGTGTGACAATCGCCAAAGACATCCCAACATTCCCCGCTTACCTGCTGCCGACCTTAAGTACCTCGCCAGCTCGTGGCCTTTTGCTCAATGGGGGATTGACATCCTCAGACCTTTTCCCCTAACAACCGGACAAAGGAGGTTCCTGGTGGTAGTTGTAGATTGCTTCACAAAATGGGTTGAGGCCGAGCCTTTGGTAACCATCACAGTGCGGAACATCCAAAACTTCTTTTGAAAGAACAAAGTGTGCCGCTTCGGACTACCTCGGGTGCTGATATCCGACAACGGGAAGCAGTTCAAAGATATCAAGTTCTAGAACTAGTGTGCCGAGATGGAAATCCAACAAAATTTCACCTCGGTGGCACACCCGCAAGCGAACAGACAAATTGAGGTGACGAACAAAGCGATTCTCCACGGACTGAAAGCTCGCCTGGCCCGAGCTAAGGGACTGTGGGTAGATGAGTTGCTCAGTGTCCTTTGGGCCTACCAAACTACCATTGAGACCGTGACAGGTGAGACATTCTTCAACCTCATGTATGGCATAGAGGCGGTGATCCCAATAGAGATCGAAATGCCAACATTGTAATTTGAAACATACAACGGGAAAGCAAAAAATGACGAATTCCATACCAACCGGACCTGATAGAAAAGGTACGAGACTTGACCTACGATGGGAAAACAAACAATCTCCTATTCTAACATATAGGCAAGTGTTCGATGTTGATGGGTATCAACGTGGGCTCTTATTATGAGACCAAGGGAGCTTCCAAGTAGCCACATGAGTGGTACTGTGTGGATGTATAAATAAATCCTGAAATCCAAATTGAATTCATGCTGCGACGGATTTGGTTAAGTTGAAGAGTTTTCTTTTGAATAACAGTTGGATCATGCCAAGCCTCAACTGACAGGTTTGAACAGCTTCAACGACAACGTCTTGCCCCCTCCTGCCACGGAGAGCAGCGGTTCGATGCCGAAGGTTGGCAGCGGCGGTTCCGACGGAGGTGTTTATGGGCAGTGGAGATTCGGGTACTCGTGGGGGCGGTTCCATACTGTACTGACAACACCTTTGGAGAAGAAGATGTGTCCAATTACTTGAGTTTCTTCCTTCACATCATCAAATTCCAAAATGCGCTGTATATCTGAAGCTGCTTTCCTTGACACCTCTAATTTGACCGAACCTCCGCAAAAACTATCAAACAAGTGGTCCAAAAAGCTACACGAAATCAGACCCCATCTTCTTACCATCAACAGAATCAAGCTAAAAAATCTTCAGACGAAATTACGAAAAGTTCGACATCCTCGACCGATTCAAGCCAAACATCATCGACAATAACGGCAAGAAAGGTTTCACCAACGCAAGGTAGAAAGGTACCTAGGGAAACTTTTAGCATGTCCGGGAAGCTCAAGAGAATGGTCGCTGATCACCAGAAAACCAAGGCATGTAATACTTTGGAGCAATGGGTTTCATTAACTGGGTTTTATTTTGAAAATTTGAACAATAGTAGAGGGTAAATTCGATGTTTCATTATTTTTTCCTACTTTTTCCTTCAAACTTTGGAAAAGTTTTATCCGCTAGGAAGTGAGTGAATTCCTTACTAGTAGGAAAATTGGCCAAAACTGTGTAGAACTTTTTTGGTGATTCCATTTGGCGGGGGAGGATTTAGTCCAATTTTAAAAAAGAGGGGAGATTTCAGTATTTACCGGAAATACTAGGAGAGGTTTAAGTCTTTTAGGCTTTTATTCAAGTGGGCTTCCCTTATGGGATTTATCTTATATCTCCACCTATTAGCAGAAATACCATATTTAGATAATATGAAGAGATAACTACGGTGTTAACTATCCACATTATTAACAAGGGCATAGTCATAATTTCAACATTTATATTGATATAATGTAATGTTTTAAAATTTTTAAAGTCATGTGTATGCCCATCGTATATGTTTTCGGGATGAAGATTTATTGAATTGCCCCTAAAAATGATTTGTTTTATTTAAGTGGATTTCACCTCATTGAGTAAACTGACAAACGCCAAGTTGGAGTTGATTAGCAGAAATACCATATTTAGGCAATATGAAGACAAAAAAACTGTTTTCACCATGCACATTAGGGCAAAGTCATAATTTCTATATGTATAGAATGATTAGCAAAGGCGTGCGTTTTGAAACGTAAACGAAGGTTTTTTGCAGACTTTATAGGTATAGGTTTAAGGGTCCATTTGATTTGCAATTGGAATTGAATCAAAATCTTTTAAAATTAAAATTGGAATGGCCAATTTCCATAATCTATTAAGTTCAGACAGAAATAGAAATAGAAATAGAAATAGGAGTGAGCAGGAATGAGCTTTCATTCCTAAAGGAAGGATAGGGACTGGCCATTCCCTCAAATAGAGGAATACCACTTCAATAGAAATAAGAATGAAATTCCGATTCCGTCCAATCAAACAGTTTAAATTGAAATAGCTCATTCCAATTCTAAACCCCTATTCCCACGAACCAAACGACACCTAAATAATTTTTCTTATTCCGTTTCAGTTTCATCTAGGATTTTTTTTTTTTCTGATAGATATTTTGCTGTGGCTTTAACAACATATGAATGAACTTCATATATTCTATGGTCAGTCGTATCTTTAGTAGTCAATGTGCTCAAGATAAATTACAATATCAACCATATCAAATCAAACATATGTAAATAGGAATTTACATTTTCTAACAATTTTCTTCAAACTTATAATTTGATCAAAGTAGTTTCCCTCATTCTGCTTTCTTCACTACAATAACAGGACACTTGGCATTGTTAACACAATAATTGCTCACGCTCCCCAAGAAAAACCTGTTTCAAAAATTCGCCTTTATACCTAACATACAAAATAATGCAACAAAAACGAAAAAAAAAAAAAAAGATTACTGGCACCTACTGAATTTGAGGGACCAAACTGTCTTTCAGCTAGATACATAACATCAGTAAATAACTGGTCTTACTCCAGGCTGGTCCAGAATAGGAATTGACCAGGCTAAATAAAGTAGGCCTATTCCGCCTGGAGATTGGAGCAGCTATATCCTATATAATATGGGGGAAGGTCTCAGTTGGGGCCAAAATTGGGGTGGATCATGGATGATGGGCCGAATAAAGAGTACCCTTAAATCCTGAATCTGTTAGTTGCACAGAGAGAAGCAATTCAAAAGAAACCAACCTTTGGAGAAGTCCGCGACCATGGCTACCTAGAATGAGTAGATTGATGTTGAACTTCTCAACAGCTTCACAAATTGTCTCTTGAGGATCTCCAAATTCTGAAATTGTCTTTGCAATTACCTGTGTAATGGAAACGGCCAGACCTTAATTACATTGATTAACTAAACACAAAGAGAACCAAATTTGCAGAATCTGGTGGAAAGAAGAGAGTAAAGTGAGTCATCAAAGTGACCATACCCCTTGATTTGCACAGATATCTTTAGCCTTTTCCAACAGAGCCAACGAAATCCTCTCTCGTCGTTCTTCGACGGACCTAATCAACTCCGGATCTATATCAAACATAATTTGCAATTAGTAGTGAACCGTGAGTCCCAATATATAGTTGAATTCAGAAATCCAAAGAAAGGAAAACCAGATTTAAGACTGGTATTGCAGGGTTTTTCAAATGGTTCAGGGAGCAGAGTATGTACGAGGAAAACCATAGGATGCGGCAATTATGGAGCTATAACCGGTTAAGGGCCGAACTGTGAAGATGAGGAGAGACGAGTTGGAGAGGGAGTCTTGAAGATTGTGGAGCACCCAATTGAGCGCGTAATGACTGCATTCGCTTTCATCAATGGCGATCATCACCTTTCTCTCATTCCCCCCCAAACCCAAATGCTTCGCCATGTCGTCTAGGACTTTGACCTCACAGACAATGTTGATATTGTTGTTCTATCACTCTATGGCCTAAGCTTGGGATTATATAAATAGCATTAAGCTCTCACAAATAAGGAAAAGGAATGCAGTCCTCATCAAAATGGTTTTTCAGTTGGGTTGGATTGGAAAGTTGGAGTCCGGATCTTCTCCCAATTTAAAGCATTCCGACAAGCATCATGATCTGGCATGGGCACCTCATTCATGCCTCCGTATTTATACGTTATTATTGACGGAAGATGTTCCCAATGCATGGTGGATGTACATGTAAGGCGCCCCATGTGAGTGGAGCATATCCCGTTTCGTTTGATGTATGTTGCACTCATATTTCATATTCCAAGGCGGGAAGTTTTGGAAAACATTAAAGAACGGATAGTCAACACGTCTACGTGTAATCTTAAAGTAATCCCACGTGGGATCCAAAATAATCAATTGGTGTGCCAAAACTGTAAAGTGGATTGAGTCTGGATCTGATACTCAGAAAAATTCTGCCTACATCTACTCACATATTACCACAGTCACGCATGGAAAACATCACACCTCTTATATGGTATTACGCTTGAAAGATGTTCGCAATGAACAAAAGTAATGTGTTGTAAATAGACGTAGGCAGAATTCTTATGGGAGGAGATTCGAAGTCAATAGATCGGATCAATAGGAAACAATTGATGGGAACCGTTCGATGATGAGTGTTTGAAATTTGAAGGTGTTGAGTGTTGGAATCAACTCGGTGCGGTGGCGTGTACTCCACCCCACGCACACGTGGCTCCAGGAGAAGAGGAGTATAAAATGAGCAAAGAATCAGAATCTCTTCCACATGATGGCAGCATGTTTTGTCGCTCGGATGGGCCATTGATATCATCAGTACACATTTCTTCACCAAAACAGCCACATAAAAATAGGTTTTGTCCGCGTTTTATGCACCCATGGGTGCACTGGACGAGTGAACCCACGACTCACGTCGATTGCACAACCTTAACGGTCAGACATCCGTTAACATGGGTTCGGCGGTTCAACCGAAAAGGTAAAATAAAAGGAAGCCCAAACCACATTTTGCATTTCCCCATGATGCTTTTCCTCCCTCCACCGAACTTTACCCACACACCGGCGATTATACCATAGTGAGTGTGGCGATGCGAGAGCTCCGGCTGTACATTTCTGACTGCCTCTTCTTCTTCTTACCTTGACAACCACCGGCAACCATACCACTAAGGGTGTTAATGGATCGGTTTTGGATTGGACCTCGTTCAGCCAAAATCAATTTGGATAGATTAGATGGACTAAGAAGACATATTGGATTGGACTAATCCATTCTAAAATATTTATTAAATTGGATTGGACCTGGCCCGTTCGTAACAAATTTATATTAGATTAGGTTGGATTAAGCCAATATCTTATCCATTGATATAAGATAAGAATAATGTGTCAATGGACCGGGTTTGAGTTGAAATCAATCTAAATCAAAATAAATTTGAATAGATTGGACAGTCCAAACATTAAATTAGACTCCAAATTAATCCAAAACATTCATTGGATTAGAATGGACCTGATCCATTTATAATAGACTCACATTGGATTGGATCATATTAGACCAAATCCAGTCCAATTGACACCCCTACATACCACAGCGACCATACTCAAACGAGATATCTAATTGCATGGGTTAACTCCACTGATCTGAGGGTTCTATAAGATCGATCTGCCTGATGCATTCTTTAGTTCATACAATAAAGATCTCTGTGGAAGGCCAAGCTAGAGCAAGGCGCTTGAGAAGGGAAAAAGAGACTGAGCTAATTAAACTTAAGTTCATACAAGTAAAACTGGAAATACAAAAAGTTAATATGAATGCTTGGGGAGAGAAAGGGTGGGTGGGGGGAACTAAGACTGCTTTTGGAATGCTTTTAATTAATTAATTAATTCTGATGAATTTTGTTGTAAGTTTGGGTTTATGAAAATTGTTGAAATTAAATTCTTTTTTGTTTCTGGGCTCAAAACTAACCTCATTCTAAGAATTGTTTCTTTGAAGCTTCAAAATAGAATAACTTTGGAGTCAAAATTCATTCTCAAAATGGTGATTCTTAGAAGCAGACTTCTAACGAAGCATAACTAAAATAAATTTTCACAAGGAGTTAAAATGAATGCACAATTTTTTTTTTCCATTTTGTTGGAATTGTTAGAGGCTCAGTTTGGAAGGAGTAGAGATACAAATACGTAAAGTGAAAATCTTATATTTTATATTATTTTGTATATATTTATATTGTACATATTGGTATTTGTATAAACTGTTTCTTACTTTACTCTTTTAAATTCATCGCTCTCAAGGTGTCACATGTCATCTTCCCTGGAGAGTTGAGCTAGTCTAAATCTAAGATGCCTGTCCACTGCCCATTGAGGAAGTTGTGACACATTCCTGTGTCTCAATTTAAAATGAAAGAGTGAGAAAACGTACAATGGTAACCAGTTCACCAGTTGGGTTACAATGGGAAAATGAAAAAGAGAGAGAGAGAGTATATGTAGACTAATGAATTAAATATTTAAATTAAGAAATTTCGGTCAGTCTCCTTGACAGAAATAGTGCAACTGGTGCTCAGTTGTCTGCTGAAGGATGAAGCATTCAAACTTGAAAAAACAACTTGAATTTCAGCAATTACGATTGCAGGTGTTTGGAACACAACCACCATGTGCGGATATTCAAAGCTGGTCAGTGTTTATTATGACAACCCAAAACTCAGGTGGGTGGTTTCTCTTGACACAAGAAGCCCCTTGTAAGAAGAAGAAGAAGAAGAGGCAGCCAGAAATGTACCTCTGGGATTCTCGCTTTCGCCGCCGATGGTCGCTAGTTTGGGTCACTCGCTGCGGTATAGTCGCCAGTGTATGGGTAGGGTTCGGTGGAGGGAGGAAAAGCATCCAGGGGAAATGCAAAATGTGGTTTGGGCTTCCTTTTGATTTACCTTTTGTCATTTTGTGGCCGGTTTAAGGTCGGTTGAACCGCTGAACCCGTGTTAACGGGTGTTTGACTATTAACATTATGCGTCCTTCCCCTGGTCGACGTGGTCGAACGTGATTCATGGGTTCACTCGTCCAATGCACCCATGGGTGCACAGAACGCAAACTCATGTTTGAGACTTTGAGAAAAATCTTGAATAAAAATGCCATTTAGTCATTTTCACTCACCTTCTAATTTCTTAACAAACCCTACAAACAAAAAAAGAAAACAAGAAAAGGGTTTGACAATGATATGAAAAAGTATAACATCTGAAAAACGTCTGATCAAAACTCTTTAGATATCATGTCTTTCCCATATTATAGATTTTTCAAAAAAAAAACAAAAAATTGTGTTCCCTTAAAGTTTTAATAGGATATGGTTCATCAACTGTACAGGGGAGGTTTTAGAAACTTTAAATGGCCGTAAGGATAAAATGGTCTCTAAATTAAGGCAAATGAAAACCCATTAACAAACTTTCTCAAAACGGAAGACCCATTACTAAACCCCACAATCCCCAATGAATATTTTAGTATTAATAATAAAATTGTGTTAACCAATGGCCCCTTATTTGAGTCCTTGTATTTGGAAGGAGTATAAATACAAATATGTAGTCATATTTATATTTGTATTTGATGATGCATGATCCGGTCGGTCTTAGTTGTCGGTAATATTGTCTCTGACGGAGCTGAAGATGCCTGAAACAAGGAGGAAATAAGAGATTCCTGGGGAGAAACCCGGTGGGAATGCTTCGATGCTCAAGTTAGAACTCTTGAGAATGTAAGGGAAAATGAGAGATTCTGAAACCAGAAGGCACAAAAATCACTTGCATTTTCTCTGGGGAAGAAGGCCTTTTATAACCACCTGATGCACTCACTCCCAAGCTTCAGCCAGAGCAGATGTAACCGCCTCTGTGGGGGGCAGATATAACCGCCACTATCCTCTCTGTCAGGGCCGTTTCTACAACAGCTGAGATGGCGGTAGCAGGTGGCTGTTGGAGTGCGACTATCATCTGTCAGATTCTGGCCAGTCAGGCGCGCTGCTTCAAAGTACGAACCTCTGTCAGGTACGATTATTCAGTCGTGCGACCTGGAGCCGAGGTGCCAGAGTGGTGCACGAGGTGAAGTCTTGAGTTTGGATGAGAGTACGACCCAGACTGTCCCGACGTGGCGGGGTGTGGCCCAGACTGACCCGAGGTGGGCTAGTTCGGGCTTTGCCCCTCGCGGGTTTCCTTGTTAGCCTCGGGATTTCTAGGGAGAGCTCGGGTTTCACCTCCCAGGAAGTGTGGGTTTCTTTTGGGGAGCTCGGGCCTCTTCTTGGGGAGCTCGGGAAGCTCGGGCCTTTTCTTGGGATGTGACTGTTGCTATGTCGCTGTGTCGAGCTGACGCTCTTGCCAGGTCACACCCGATCTCTTCCACGTATCGCACAGACAAAGGGTCGGGCCAAATCTACCTTCATCATTATTCTTTCCAAACTAAGCCTAAAATACAAAATAAAAATAAATAAACAGAACCGAAGGTGGAGAATTGTGATTTAAGAGTTCTCTAATTTTGTTAATGAAATCGAGATCTGGACTAATACAAATAAAAATACAATGCTGGCCTCGTTCACCCAGCCCGATGTATGACTGGCTGAACGTGGGCAGCAATATATTGTGTCACTGGTCAGCAGATCCCAACTCAATTGTGAGTACTTAGTAGTGACACCTCATGTCTTGATAATACATTTTACTGTTTCTTTCTTTGTAGTGTAACAGACGTAAGAATCTTTTTCAATAATTCATCAACTGTTTTTTTTCTTCACTCAAGTAAAACATGATATTTTTTTATCACCTTTTTTCACTATATATAGATGATGGAGATGATTGATGGTGAGCCTTCAATGCTTAGGGTTTTTATTTAGAAGGTGAAAAATTAAAGCAACTTAACCACATTTGTAGAATTATGCCTATCCATTGTCTCCCTGGACATTTGAGCCTGAAATGACAATGGTACCAACTAGAGAGATTCTATTCCAACTATTTATTTTTGTTAAGGAAGAGTATTTTGACTTTTGATGCTTTTTCTACTTTTAAACAAAATTCTTCTACTTTATAAACATGCCTTCCCATTTTCTAAAGCAAAGCAGAATAGTATTTTCACTCTTAAAAGACTAATTAGCCCCACTCCAACAGAGTATTCACATGTAAAAGTAAAACCCATATTAATAATAATCAACCTTTTTAACAGAATTTTGTTAAAAGGATTTTATTAGGGGATGGCTATGATATGGAAAAGATATTATATCTAAAAAACAACCGACCAATAAATCAGAATCATAAACGTGATAAAAAATATGGCGTAATTTATTAAAATTCGTTGGTGAATTTTGATTGGTCAAAATTCTTTTTATATCATGTCTTTTCTGTATCATAGATTTTCCCTTTTCTTAAAATACAAATGTTTACAAATAAAACCTGTTAGGGTTTGGATGGTGATGATGGTTTACAAATAAAATTGGATTTAATCTCTTAAATCTAATTTAAATTTACCATATAGGTAACTGCAGGTACCAAACGGAGTACATCATATGTGGTATGGTGGTCACTATCTACTATCTAGTGCTTATTGATACGAAGTTATCAAGCTCTGTTTCAGGGTTTGAAGTATAACATATATCAGCCCACATTTACTGATACGTACTGATTTTGAAGCTAATCTAAGTTGCCGATTTGTTCTACCCGTAGGCCGTATCAATTGTATCGGTTGATACAGTTACTGTATATGCTGATATTCTGTTAATGTACCGGACTGATTCCCACATAATTGACTCTCTTTCCTATATTAATTCTTAATTTGTCTCATTAATATTACATATCTAGCTACCAAAAAATACACACATTCTCTCTCTCTCTTTTATTTAAAAACTACAAACGAGGTCATTAAATCTAAGGTTATGTTTGGTTCAATTCTCATTCTTTTTAATTCTTATCAAAGATGAAATTCTAAAATGAAAAAAAAAGGTAAAAATAAGTGGAATGAGAAAATACAAACACTTTTTTTTTTCCTAAAAATGAATTCTTTTCAGACTGACAAATGTCCTATGTTGCTCATTTTTAATTTGTGCTAGTATTCACAAACTGACAACCTAGGTCTTCAATAGCCAATGTTTACCAATTGGCATAGATGTTTTGTAAAAGTAATTTCGTAAAAGTGTTATTACAAAAGTATTTTCATAAAAATTCTTTTATAAAAGTACTTTCATTAGTGTTTTTATGAAAGTGATTTTGTAAAGTACTTCCACAAAAGTGCTTTCATAAAAGTACTTTCATAAAAGTGATTTTATAAAAGTATTTTCATAAAAATTCTTTTATAAAAGTACTTTTACAAAAGTGCATTTATAAAAGTACTTTCATAAAAGTACTCCCATAAAAGTGCTTTCATAAAAGTACTCCCATAAAAGTATTTTTCATAAAAGTACTTTCATAAAAGTGATTTTGTAAAAGTACTTCCATAAAAGTGTTTTTATAAAAGTACTTTCATAAAAGTGCTTGCGTAAAAGTACTTTCATGTAAAAGTACATCCATAAAAGTGCGTTTGTAAAAGTGTTTTCATGTAAAAGTAGTTTTATAAAAGTGCTTTCGCAAAAGTAAACATCTAATGACAACAATTTTGTAGGTAGAGTTTTCTCAAAGAATGAAATGAGCAAGATGGGGCATGATTATTTTTCATGTTGCAGGCTAGTCAATTTTTGTGCTATGGGGCTGGTTTTTCATTCTAAAAAGAATATGGCCGTTGGCAAGAATTTTGTATCCAAACACTTTAATATTATTCATTCTTAAGAGAATGAGGCCCAAAGCAGTGAACCAAACATGGCCTAAGTATATATGCTTCCAAGTAACAATATTGCCATTAAACCATGCTTCAATCACTTGTCATAATTATGTAAGTTATAGATTTTAACTTAAATTCTCTCTTTTTAGTCCATATCTATCAACAAATTAGAAAAAAACAATTTATTAAAATTTATATGTTTATAAATATTAACAATAATTGTAATCCATATAGAATAAAAGTAGAGCATAGGAGAGTAAGGATGTTAAACCAATGACCCATAAACCAATTTCCAACTTAAATTCATGGCTCTTGAATTTTCTAAATGTATCACAAAAAATATAATTGAATGACTGCAACACAATGTTGGGTTGGTATTAGGTCGAACCCTATAGGGTTGGGCGAGTTGGCATGGGCTTGACTAAGCCGTAACCTGACCCTCCCATGCTTCCACTCAAACCCAACCAAGCTAACTCAATACTATGCAGTTTTCGAACCTGCCCCAGCCTATAGGGTTCAACTCAATACTAACCCAACCCCATCACATTGTCTTCAAATGCTTCTCCAACTTGAAAGAAAAAAGCAAAAACAAATAGTAACATACTTTAAAGTTAGTGATTGGAAGTTAGACCAAATTATAAGAATACCCTTTATATATGTAGGGGTATTATAACCCAATGAATGGGGGGTTAGCCAAACTTGGACCTGATTTGAGTTAAATAATCAAAAGTGACGGGATCTGCTCCTCACAAATGGGTGCCTCACAGGCACATCCACCATGCATTGGGAACATCTCCCGTGAATATTCATTAATAAGTACTGGAGATGTTCCCAATGCATGGTAGGATGTGTGTGTGAGGTGCTAGGTGTGAGGAGCAGATCCGGTCTCTAAACAAAACTCTAACCTAACCCTATACCCTGATTAGGTTAAAACAAATCATAAATTTAAAGTTAGGGATTAAAAGTCATATCAAATTACAAAAATACCATTTATAGGTATAGGGGTATTATGACCTAATGGGCCAGGCCAACCATACTTGCATTTGATTTAGATTAAATAATCAAAACTCTAACTTGACCCTATACCCTAATAAGTCTGACCCTAAGCCTAGGGGTGAGTCAAGTCAAATTTACCATTTAAGTTGACCCATTGACATGCCCATACGAGATTATCCACTCACTCAAGTTTCAATTTGAATTGTGATCAAAACAACTAAAGATAACTCAAAAATATATACTTGAATTGGCTTGGATTGACTTGGCTCAATTAGAAATGTCGTATTGCTTTAATTTTGCAATTCTGCGTAACAAAGTCCATGCATCATATTTATGTAAATGATAGATTTTAACTTAGTTCTCCCCTTTTGGTCCATATTTATCAACAAAATAAGAATAAAAAAAAAACAATTTATCAAGACTATGTTTGGTTTGAAGGAAAAGGTAGGAAAACCTATACAATGTTTGTAAAGGTTCCCCAACACTTTCCTTCATTTCCCTACTTTTTCCTTCAAACCAAACACAGCCTAAAGTTTATATGTTTATAACTATTAACTATAACTACATTGGCTTTCTATGAATTACAATATACATGCCACCAATATCAGGTGCTCGATTTATCTAGGTAACTCATTCTTCACATAGGTTATTAAAGAATGTATATTTTATATTTATATACTTTACTTTTTATCATTTAAGACCTAGATTTAGATTTAGGGTTATTAATGTGTCTTTTAAGATTTATATAAGTTTTCCTACCATATCTTTATATATTCTTTTTTTCCTAGTATATCTCCATACATCTCTTAAAATTGGCTTTCTAATTTTTTGTGTTTTTTATACTTTGAGCCTTTGTCTATTTGCATGAAGTGCATATCTGAACAGGATATACATTTAAAACCTGGTTCAGATTTAAATACGTTCGTTTGTAACCATGTTTGCATTCTATTTGATGCAAAATTTGCACCACCTTCCTAATTTAATCCTCTCTTATATTCAGATTTCCATTTACTCTTAAAAAGAAAAAAATAAAGTAAAACCTGAAACAAAAATAAACCAGAATTTACAATCTACCCATTTGTACTAAAGTGCATTTACATTATACAACAGCGCAAATTTGTGATTCTGGGTCACTTTTCTTGTAATTTTTGGGCAAACCTCGCTATTATTATATTATTCATGAACAAATATTCATTGAGATATTGTTCACAGGTAGGATACAAAAGAAAGTATCAAGAGAATATAATATGGTTAAAAAATCCTAGACCTCAAAACATTACTTCAGAAAATCAACACCAAACAAACCTGTACAGTTATTTTGGTAGAAGTATCATTTATGTAAAAGATGAGGCACATAACGCTCCTTCACATATCCAGATCTTGGAAAAAGGATCTCATTCAGGCAAGAGGTTAGGAAGGTAAGCCTTCACCCTTATTGGCCACAACAAACAACTAACTGCTACTGCAATATCTATTGTTGGTGAGGCTGAGAAACCATCCCTTATGCTGCTTTCCTCACAACAAGAACGGGGCACTTGGCATGATGAACACAGTAGTTGCTGACACTACCCAAGAAGGCCCTGTTTTAAAGCAAATAGAGAAAAAGGAAATCGTCTTAGTATCCATGCAGTACAGCGAAAAATCAATTTTTAGGCTCAGAGATGGAAAAACTTGATGTGGTTAAGCACTAGATCCTAATGGGTCCATTAATAGAAGGGCATACACACACTGTTTTGCCATTCCACTCTGTTTAATGCTATATCCATTGTTAAATTATGAGTGCCAAAGGGTGCCCTGCATCAGCCTTTCATCATCAGCATCTAAGCCTTATCCCAACTATATGGAGTCCACCACATGAATCCTTTTTTGCCATTCCCCTCTGTTTAGTGCTATATCCATTGTTAAATTATGAGCGCTTAAATTAAATCATTTCTTACTACTTTGACCCATGTCCTTTTTGGTATACCCCTAGCCCTTCTAAACCTTTCAACTTGTAACTGATTGCTTTTTCTTATGAGTGCGTAGGTGGTTTTCCATGCACGTAACTAACCAAACAAGTTTTTTTCTCTCATTTATCACCTATTAGAGCATCAGCCCTCATATGGATAATATATATCATGAATCTCAGATTCCAGATGTATAGTGGGCCAATAGGCATAGTAGATTCTACCAGGGCAGAAGTGTTGTCTGCACATACAGGGAACAGAATAATTAACAGATTAGTATGCAGAACATCTCCATTGAAGGTGATTCAGCAAACTTTATAAAATGGTTAGGAAAACAAGAGACCGGACCGTGGAGACTTAGTCAATTTCTGACGGAGGCAAGGGACTTACTGCAAACCTGATTTGGATTCCAAGGGAATTTAATGCTCTTGCAGATGGACTAGCAAAATTAGGTGCTCTGTTAGAAGATTTGTACGCTGATAAGTTTCCTCCTGTATAATTCCTAATGATCTGATCCCTGTTTTTGTTTTTCTTTTCTTTATATGAGTACGCCTTCTTGTGTACCCTTCTCTTTTCTTATTGAATTCAGTTACCTCTCTCAAAAAATAAAAAAAATCTCAGATTCCAGATGGCTTAAAATGGGAATGATGCAACAAACATGAGCATTCTCTTTTTAGGTTCTCATTGAAGCATCACACTTATTGTATATCAATAATTTGTACATTATCAAAATCCAACACCAAGACTGGCTTTAGCATAAACTATTGATAGTTTATAGATTTGTCAAAGTAAGAAATTGATTTGCATGTGGAATCTTGGCATTATAAAACTCCAGGGCAGATATTCATATTATCATATAAAATAAACAACAAACACTTGGCATTTTTATTGTGGTTTATTTTTTATTGCCATCAAATTTTGCAATTTTGATACTCGTTCCAATGAAGGGGGCAAACCATCTCTGGTTTGAAAAACAGATTGTTTCTTAATATAAAAACACAAAAAACATGTTCTTGGTTGTGTGTGTGTGTTTTGTTTTCAAAACTGAAACCAAAAACATGTTCTTGAATCTGGTTTTCAAAAACATGTTTTCATCTGATTATTTAACATTATTCCATAAATCATATGTTTCTATACTAGAAAATTTGTTTTTTTTTTATGTTTTAAAAACCATTATTTTGTTGGTTCCAAAAACATGTGTTGTTTTTTGAAACAAAACCAACTTGTTTTTCCTTTGAAAACAAGAACAATGTTCAAGACCATGCTTTTTGATGTGGCAATTCCAAAAACAAATAAAAACAAAAACATTCATGTTGTAGAACGCCCCCAAAATTTCTGGAAATTTAAGCTCTTGTTCCAGTAGGGCTACAAATTAGGTACCTAATTTGAAGAATTTACATTGCATCATACAGTCCAATTCAAATTTTTAGTGTAATCAGAAAGATAAGTATGAATTTCATGGAGAAATGTACTAGTAAGGATACAGGAGTAGGAAAGGAAGAGAAAAAAGACAAGTGAATTTTGGAATAAGAGATACAGGCCTTACTCTTCGAATGGACTGACATCTTGAAATTTTGAAATTTCAGCAAGTTGTTAGTCAAAAGTTCAGTTCTGAAATAAACTAAAAGCAAATCTGAAACCAGAATCCTTAAGCCTGACAAGGAGATTTTATGTTTTGAAAACATTAACATAGTAGATTCAAATTCTGGACATGTTCTACTGCCAAGGAGAGGAAAGGGAAGGGGTCATGTTCTACACTTACAGTAGATTGGTTGCAGTGTATTTTTTTTCTTTTTTTTCAAAACAATGAATTTCATGGTGGGTACTGGACTTAAACAAGCATCCATATGGCTGAGATGTAATGGATCGACCAGTAAATTTTAACCCTACCTGATCAATTAATAAAGAAAAGAGAACAAGATACATGATGCAAAATGGTCATGTAGAAATAAGAATTCAAAATATGCCACAGAGTTAGACCCTGACATATTCCGTTTGTAAATTTTAACATTCATGTACACATAAAAAGGAGATGACTAGCTGTATTTTAGATGTTTATCTAGGAAGCTTCCATGGGAAAACATAGTCAAGATGTATTTTGGATGTTCATTACATATTGAACAAGGAGAAATAAAAGAAAAAGAGATGCAGAATTGTCACCCGATAATCCATAAAATGTCCATTGAGAAGAGTTTACCACATTCATTAGGATCTATAAGTCCAAACTTCGTGCTTATGCTTTTCAGTAAAAATGTTTTTAGAAAAAAAAGACAAAGAAACATGATTTCTATTGTGAGGACCAAAATCAGTCTGCATTTGAGTCATAATAGTTTTAACCATTTTAAGTAATCTCATAATGATACATAATAGTATTTCAACCATTTCTTTCCATCTTGAAATGAAATAACATGCATGATTGGTTCCCACATACCAAATAGGATAGACTTAAGACTAGACCTATAGGTTTGAAATTTATCCAGTAAATATATTGAAATGATGATTTCATTTATGCTTTTGCTTCCTGTATAGAGCTTAATTAAAGTTGCAGCATACAAATTTTTGTATGCAGTTTAGCCTTCATGCATAGATGACATCAGATAACCAGTAACATCAACAGGAGAATATAAAGTGAACATTCATGCCAAAATTCAATTGAAATATTAAAGAGTTAACAGCACCGAGAGTAATCAAGAAAACTATGAATAAGAACCACATTGTATGGTAGAACAGCATATGCTAGGGCCACCAACCTTGAAATAACACCTCGGCCATGGTTACCTACAACCAGCAAATTGATGTTGAACTTTTCAACTGCTTCACATATAGCCTCTTTAGGATCTCCCATCGCTGTAACTGTCTTTGTGGTTACCTGTAGCATGACAAACCTTGAGAGTTACCACTTATTATTAATGGACGTATTCGCTTCTGGATGAGCATAGTAATAATTAAAATGCATTTGTGGATAAACAGATGACGGCATGATGCCAGAAAAAAAAATCATATACAAGAATCAACATGACATGAATGGCATTAAAAATCATGGATTAGTCAATAAGAGAACTTAACAATGTGGGTTTGTTGCTAGTCACATACCCTGGTTCTAGTGTAGTCATTGATTAAATGGTTAATTGATTACAAGTCTCCCCATTTCACAGAAGAAAAACACAGTTTGTGATAAAAAGAAAAAACAGGAATTTCTCTCAAACCAAAATGCTGTAAAAGGATTGGAAAGTGCAAATAATTTGTAAATATTTTCTATCTGTACCAATTTTAGATAATCTTTGGTATCAATAACTTTGACCAATAACAAAAAAAAAATGAAGACCTCTACAGACACAATGGCATCTTGTCCACAATATTTAACATCTGATGAATCAAACTGATGCCAACCTTTTGCATGCAAAAATAGCATTACAAAGAAAATATGCTTAATCTTCAAGGAGAGTACTTAGTAAAGCTATCAACATGACCAAATGCATTTCTTTACTGAAAAAAGGAAATCGGAATAGAGATTAGAGATTACATTGGTGTCACCCACTATACAAGTTTTCAGTCAAAAGGTTAAGTAAGTTGGCAATACCCCATGGCTGGCACAAATTTCCTTAGCTTTTGCAAATATAGCAGCTGCTGCTGTTTTTTGATATCCCCTGACCGAGTCCATTAAGTCCTGATCTGTGGAAAAAGAGAATAAAAGGTGAGATAGATTTAGGAAATCAGAATCTAAAAATCACTCCATTGCACGAGACAAACCCAAGAATTCAAGTCCCTAAAAGAATTACTTTCATAAACGAAGTTTTGAAGAAACAGCCAATACAGAGTTATTAAGAAGATTAATTGTCTTAAGTAGTTAAAATCATTTGAATCTCAGGATACACACCTAGAGACTAATCAAGAAACACCCAATTTACTCATTTCATAGAACTCGTTTAGTAGACAACAGGATTAATTCATAACAAGCAAGAGTGATACCCACAACATTTCATTTTGTCTCATGGACAAGACAGTTCCTTATAGGATATTACAAAAGAAAATTTTAAATAATTATGCATACCCACGACATTCTTTTACAAGGAAAAAAAAAAACTCAGAAATACAAAATTAGTTAAATCAGTCCTGAGAATCAAGATATAACTAGTGAGAAACAGAGATGGGGAAGAGCGTACTGGCGACACCGTATAGATAATCGTAGTCAGCAGCGGGCTGTGCGGTAAAAATAGTAAGCGGCGTATCCAAGAAGCAATGGCGAAGATTATCGAGGGCCCAGTTGAGAGCGTAGGTGCTGCACTCACTCTCATCAACCGCCACCATGATAGCCACCTTGCTACTACTCTCCTGTACCTCCTCTGCAACCTTACTCTGTTCTCCTTCCTCCGCCATTTCGCTTGCCTACCACCTCCAACGGGGTTTCACTTCTCGCAAGAAAATTTCAGTATGTCTGCTAACTACTTCAACTGTGGATATGGAGGGAGGGAGACTGCCCCATCTCTATTTATTACTTCTATAATGTAACGTGCGGAGAATGGAGATAGAGATGACTGCTTGGACCCTTATAGAAATTAAATTTCAATTTCCCTTTTGGCTGTTGAGTGGTAAATATCAATTACTCCCTTTGGTGTAGACTTAGGATAAAACCGTGATCACAGCCCCTGATGTTTTGCTGCGGCCCCACCTTCAATCAGATGAAATGACGTTAAAATGGGGCGACAGCGAACAACGAACGCTATAATGTCACGGTTTTAACGAAGGCTACGCCGTCGGGAGTAGCTGATTTGTCACGTTAGAAAACCGGGCACATAGGATTGCTACCGGATTAGCCGACAACCCACAGAATTACTGAAAAAAAGAAGAAAATGCGGAAAAAGAAGGGAGAAGTACAGATACACGATGCAGAATTCTGAATTCCATCCCCTCTACTACTAGCCTTCTCCCCCTATAAATCACAACCTGTCCGTGAATTTAACATCAATTCACTTTTCATCTGGGCTGATTGATACAAACCCCCCTTTGAATTCTAGGGGTGCTCATGGTTAGGATGCAAATAGATAGAATTGAATTTCAAATTGGCGTACATCCGAATCCGATCCGATGACATAAATCTTAGATCCGATGGGATCAGCGATTTGAATCCAAATCTGTGAAGGATGTCAAATATCCCAATATATTCTGATCTAATTTAACTTCTTTAATTTTTAACAAATTATTAACATAAAAAAATACCAATTTATATAAATAAAAACAAAATAAAAAATACAATCCTATTACTCGATCCATTTGCACCCGTCTACTTTTGATACCTGAAAATCCAATGCCCAATATGTCATTCGATCCAATTAAAATCCAAATCTAATTATATTATAATATTTATTAATTTTAATATATAAATTTATATAATTATATTTAAAATTATAAAAAATATATTTTTTTCTTATATATAGATTTATATATAATAAACTCAGTGTGTTATATTTACATTAATGTATTATATATAAAACTGAAAAGTAATCAAATATCCTTTTTTTTTGTATTTTAAAAGATTAAAATAGAATTGGATTAAATCCAAATCCGATTCAAATCCGTTTGGATTTGAATTTGAACACAAGGTATTCAAATCTGATCGATTTTGGATTGGATTGGGATGTAAGTTTTCAATATTCGGATGAAGACTCAGATCTTGCTAAATCCAGTCCGATTTTGATTCAATTACAGCCCTACCTATGCTTTATGGTAACTGATGGTGCACGATCCGACCGATCTTAGCTGTCAACGATCTTGTCTCTGAATCGGGTGGTCAGGGACCTGAAACGGAGGGAAAAGAGAAGCTCCGGGGAGAACCCGGCGTAAGGGCTCCGAAGCTCAAGTTAGAGTTTCTCAAAGGCAAGATAGACCAGATAGCGCAAAAGTTAGCATACCTCGTTTCTGGGGCGTAGGAGCCTTTTATAACCACCTCGCGCACTCACTTCCAGGCTTCTATCAGATCGGGCATGATTACTTCTGAACTCCTGCCAGTTCGGATGTCATTTCCTCTGTCCGGTCAGAACCGCCACTGTTCCTTTGTCAGAGCCGTCTCTACGGTTAGTAACGACGGTGGCAGGTGGCGGTAGCAGGAGGCCGTTTGAAGGGCGACTGTCAGGCGTCGGATCCCAAATCAGTCAGGTGCGTCGCCCAAGGATACGGACGTCCCTGGCGTCAGGTACATTTGATCAGCCTGGTGTTTCGGAGGCGAAGTGTTGGAGTGAGCGAGATGTCTTGAGTTCGGTTTGGGG